TGCTGATGAAGGATCTGTTTGGAGCACATGAAAGATTTTGTTCTTAAATCATTCCCACAAGTCTTGATCTTCTCTCAGTATTCCTTAGTTGTGTAGGAACAGTCTTCCTGAGTCTTTGAGGACATGTTGATGTTATCAAGACTGCAGCTGCAATATTATATCCACTGACACTAGACCCCAATAAACTCAGTGGGATTTCTTTCCAAATAGACACATATGGGATTACAGTTCTCTTGAAACAGAAAACTCACGTTTCAACTCTGTGCTGTGGACTGTTGACAAGAATAATACTCTTTGCAAGTATGATCAGCACACATACAACATATTTGGCTATACTTGTTTTTCCCCCAAAAGTTTTCCTAATTAAGGATAGACAACCAAGTATTAAAGTTCTGCACCAAAACACAGGCTATTATTAAAGGTTTGTGCTGTTCTGCAGAATCAGAGCCTGGATCTTAGATAATGGCTTTTGTCCAGCCGTATATTTGTTTGTAGCAGCAAATAACTACCCTTTTTTATCTCAGAGACTGATATATGCCATGGACTTTGATGGGCAACACCACAGCTCTTTGTGATATATTTGAAAGATGTAAACTGAAGTATAATGGAGACTGAACTAAATTTAAAAGGTACTAAAGTTAAGGCTGCAACAAAAGAATAAAATGATATTGCTCTTCATAATCTAAAGCATTTGCTGGGGTATCAAACATGAACTCTACACAATTTCTCTAGCACCAGATGGTAGATTGTAACCTTTTGTCAGCAGAGAAGCAAGCATAATCATTATTCTCACTCTGAGAAATACAGTAAAATTTGGTAACGGATTCCAGTTCTGCTTTCTCTAGCTTCAGCTCTTCTTTAAATGTTTGTTAAAGTACTGTTATTTTTTGACATGTCATACTTATTTTTTGGTTATATAGCAATATAATTTTGGAAAGCAGTGTGCATGTGTAGGGCAACGTGTATTAAACTCCTTCATTAACCTTAATCAAACTGTATCACCTGCTTCCAGCTGCAAGTCACTAGCTGGGCAAATAACTACAACACACTCAGTCCTTGGAAATATAACTCTGTTTTAGCTCCTCTGACTTGGTAGCACTGTTGAAAAGCCATGAGACTGCATCCTTCCCATAATCTGTTTGTACTACTTTGTATCTCTAAATGACTCTACAAGGGTGGAATTCACCTTCAGTTCCTTCCTCTTATCAGAACAAAGGGTATGGAGATCATAACTGCATTTAGGGTATGGAAATAGGTACAACACATAAATATAGGCAGAGCTTTCTTCATCAAACATCACTTTCAGTTTTCAATGTAGAAAATCTTACAGAAAATACAAAGTCCTGCAAAGACTGGCCTGAACATCCCATACACCCCGAGACTCTCTCTTGGCATTTTGGAGAGAACAATGTGCTTCTTCTTTGCTGCAAACTGCTCCCTGCCCCATTCACAATTTTCTCTTGGGCTCAAGGGAAATGGTATCCTGCTGGCCCAGCAACCAGCAGCCTGCTGGGGCTTACACGCAGGCAGAGGTATTCCTGAATGGGGTGACACCAAAGAGGTTTCTGAATGGGGTACCCCTTTTTCTGTATGCTTCTGTTGGATAGTGTGTGTTTGGGTTCATAGTGCGCTAGGAGGTAGTCCATGGGCTTGTGTTTTGTTGTTGCTTCCACTGCTTGGAGTGGTCTCTTGTAGGGGATGGAAATAGGATTCCCTCTGGGTGAGAACTGGGGAGAAAAGTTTCAAGAACACCCCAAGTGAGAGTTGGTAGTGAGAGTGTGAATGAAGTAGTATTTTATGCTATCCATGACCAGTGGAAGCTGTTTGCTTTATCAGACTTGGGTGGGTGAGCTGGTTAGGACTGATTTCGGACTTCTTGGGCCACAATGGCAGAGTGAGGATAGCACTGGTGTACCACCTAGATCCCTGCCCAGCATCCTCCATGATTGAAGTGGCAGAGGTGGTCACAGGTGTGGTATTGGAGAAGCCCAGGCTCAGGACTTCATGGTCTCCATGGAGCTGTATCAATCTATCATGAACTGAACAAATAAAGTGGGGCATATCCTTGACCTGGTTTTTGCTCCAGGTCATGAAATGATTAATCTGAAAACTGGAGTAGGTGAACGGCGAGGAGTCCACAAAACCCCATTGTCATGGCCAAAGCATTTCCTAGTAAGGTTTGAACTCACAAGATTACTTCTTCCTGCAGAGGAGCAGGGACCATTTAGATGGTGTGCCCCGGGGGACTGATGGAATCCAATGAATTCCTGAATTTCCAGCGCATACAGACGGTGAGGCCCCAGTCTCACTGTGGAACAGTGAGATGTGGAGAGCTATAGAATTGATCAACCAAATGACTGGAGAAATCACTGCTCCTTGGTATGCTAGGGAGCTGCAATTGATGAAGCAGACTGGATGTTGGCTAGAGCACAAATGGCATAAGACTGCAAGCAAAGATGACTGAATACTCCCTAGCACACACAGCCATGCCTACTGCATGTTTCTTTGCTGCTGTATTTGCTGTCGTCGTTGCATCCTCCAGTAGCCACTGAGTGGAGCTTTTTCAGGGTGACTGGGAGCTGTTAACACTCTCCCCAGCAAATGGAGTCCAATCCCTTCAAATAACTGCAGTGAACTCTTTGCATCACACTTTGAGGACCAAATAGCTGTCTCTGCGAATGACTTGATACTGTTGCAGTTCCCATCACACGGAAAGTACCTTGGAGGGACTGGCCATTCAGTCATGGCAATAAAAGCAAAATATTGCACAAAAACATTTATGCAACTGGCAGTCAACATGGCTCTGATGCACTTTTATTGGCACTCACCAAAGTGTCTTATCCTGATTTGTTTTTTAAACAGCACATGGTCTTATCTGCAGCTAGAATTACTGTGAAATAGCTTTCTCTTGCTGCTGAAATCTGAGGACCAAAGGAGTCGTTTAGTGTGTTGAGGCCCAGACCCACTGCTGCCTTGCACTTGGGTTTTGAGCTGGAGATTTACCCCTTCCTACACCTCCTGTGTGTGATGTTTTGTGGTGCTGCCAGGACAGTTTCTCAAATTGAAAAAAATGGCTCAAAAAGTTTACCTACCCCTGCAGTACAGTGTGGAAACAAGCAAATCCATGTGTGTAAGGGGAAGCTGAAAACACACACATCTGCCTGTAAAACAGAAATAGCTGATATGTCTGGTTCAAATGATCGGTTTGAGTGTCCAAAGTGCATTTGTTCAGAGCCTTACAGCCACGCAGCTATCATTTGACCTAGTTCTATTGGAGGCATCATAAGGGTTAAGAAAGAATATTTAAATATTCTGTTTTGAAGCTATCACTGGCATTTCAGTGCTTCAGGCAATGACAATCTGTTAGCTCTTTCCCAAATCTAGTTCTTACATTTGTAATGCAAATGCTATAACAATCAGAAAATTGCATTTTTTCATTCTCATTTGTCAGCAACAGAAAAGTCTATAGCTCCATCTCCTTGAATAGTATGGCAAGTTTACTGCCTACAAGTATTTCCCACCCTAGCATTTTTCTTCTCTTGGTTTGCAATAGAACTGTTTTTTTCATTTTTTTACATAAACCATTATCTTTATACACCAAGCCTGAGGTTCCCCAGTTCATACAATAACACATCAAGGGCATGTCTGAAGAAGTATATGGATTAATACCAGTATTAAACTGGGCCTAAAGTTGTAGACCTTTTCTACATAAGCCATTTATTCTTACTTGTGGTTCTTTACAGATTCTTTAAACAATGGTGTGATCCTCCAGATCTGTGTTTCTTATGATCACTTTCCTGGGCTTTGTAAAGAGGGGGAAAAGTACTGTTTTGGAAAGTGAAACAACTATTTGTGCTATCCCAATGTAGCACAGTGCTGCCTAGAGGTTATGTGACAGAAACAAAAGGAGAGGTTATATAGCAGAAACATGAGGAAGGATAAGTTCTTTGCATAGAACGCATTTCTCAATTCTGCAATGAAACTGAAAGCAGATTAACAGTCTTTGTAAAAAAGTACTTTATCATAATTTTATGTTATAAATATTCATATATATATATATATATATATATGAATAAAAAAACTAATTTCTGAGTGTGGAACCTAAATGATAGTACCCACACACAGGATGGCATATCAGCAGGCTTGGAGTACAGTGGGGGCTAAGAGTTGTAGGTGTACAAGAAACCTTGAAAAAAATGCAACACATGTGTGTTGGGCAGGGAGGGACCCAAAAATGTTCAGCAAGGGCTAATTATGCACAGTGGTATGGAATATTGTTATTGGGGGGACAGAAAGAGGGGGTGAAGGGGAAATGGAACGCTGTATAGTGCAAAAAGGCATGGCTGGATGGAATCTAGAGCAGGAGCGTCATACTCCAGAGTGTTACCTTTTGTTACAGCTGCCCAGTTCACTTAAAATGTGAAAATTCGTACACATTGTTTATATGGTGATCATTTGACCCATTGTGAGTATAAGGGAAACAGACACAGCTTAAAAGTTATGAAAGGTTCTCCTGTTCTGCATTAAGACAGTCTCTTTAGAACTTTTGAGGAAATCCAAGCAGCCAATATTTTTTGCAGCATTAACTAACTATAATTGTAACTTCTCTCTAATGGTAAGCCAAATCTGTGCAACTCTTGGCCAATACGGTATGGCATATAATATATTGTGATATTAATATTATTATGGCCAATGGGAACTTAACACAACTGCATAAATGGGAAAAGAAGAGAGATTCAATTTACTGAAGAACAAAATGGAAGACACTGGTAAGACATTTAGTTTAAAAAGAAAAGAAGTCCTACACTTCTTAGAATTCACCAGGCAGCATGGCTGAGTGGGCAATGCTGCAAGCAATAGGACTTATTTTCTAACAAAGCATGTTAGTTGTATGTTGTATGTAACCTTATGCTTATTAAAAATTCAGTGAGATCAGTAGAAGTATTTTCATTAAGTAGATTGGCTTGAAGGAGAGGCAAATAAAAGAGGAGTATTTCCTATTAAATTGTAATCTTTATGATTCATCAGAGACCAAAGCCAAAGTATTGGTAGACAAAATGTAAACTGTGGGTCTTATTTGGCCTACATTTTTACAGGATTTCTGGCAGTAATTAGAAGTCACAAGGTCCAAGGGAATCTGACCGCTACAGGGTGTGCAGGGAAATGGGAAATTTTCAATTGACATTGAATACATGAATAAACACATTACAAAATACATGATGAAATGTATTGTACAGGATATGCAGTTGATGATGGTAATCAATATTCATTCAATATTCATATTACATCTTGAAGATAACATCATGAAGGTGTCGTTCATTTCTCCATACACATTCTGACAGCCTGTTGTGGAAATTCTGTATTGCTTGACATAATATGTCAAGAGGATTGCCAGCAATTGTTCACAAAACTGTTGACTGTTGGTCATTGGGTTTGAGTTCCTGCACAATCTGCAATTTGTAGGGATGGAACTTCCATTCGTGCAGTATTCTTTGCGTGCTTTGTCACCCCAAATATAGGGATGATGCGTGCTGTCAAACGAAGCGGTGAAGGCTCCTCACGATGGCAGCTCAAACAGCCTCAATATTCTCTGGTGTGCATGTCATTCAAATACCACCTGGGGACTTCTTTTTTAAGGCTGAAACTGTTTCTTCAAAATTATGCACCCATGTTGTAATCACATGACAGCTGGGACATGATCATGATGTCCTAACTGGTAATGACACCAAAATTCACTTTACACAGCATTCACACTATCACCATTCTTATAAAAGGCTTTTACAGTGAACACTTGTTATGCACCACTCCACTGCTCCATTATAACTACGAGAGCGGTTCTAAATGAGGCCACACTGGTACCAAACAATTGCCAGTGCCCCAGGGTCGCAAACTCCTAGTTCCAAAATTTCCCATTTCCCTGCACCACCCTGTATAAACAAGGGTGGTTGTCATTTAAGCAGAGCTAGAGTCTCTCATTCTCAACCATTTAATGCAGTCTTGCATGAAAATGCAAAGATTACATTATGTTTACATGTTGTTCCATAAAGTTAACTCGGCAAATGAGTTGCACCACTTTTCCCAGCCAATTAATTATCTCTATCTCCCTGTTCAGGTAACTTCATTGATCGCCCCTCATGGCATTAGGAACAAAACACACCAGTATAACTATGTGTCTATGAAAACAAATGCTCAAAATGCAATTCCAAACTAGCGCTACTTTAGTTGTTCATCACTTAGCTTCATTTAGAAACCCAAGGGTCAGGTATGTTTTTAGTTGTAGACACTAAGGTTGGGAAAGGATATAGAACCTGCTTCCAAAAAGTATTTTGGGTCAAAATGTAAAATGATTCTTCCTGCTACATATATACTGCAGCCCTGTGTGCATCTCCATTGGAATAATTATCTATCAGTTACTACTAAGTTAAAATGCATGGGCCAGATTTATATTCCTGAACCACCTTCTAGTCCTTTCTTTAGATGGTTCCCAGCTATCCTGTGTGAAACCAACTTCTTTTTCATTTCTGCCAAACAGCCACTGCGACTAGAATGGGAGATCCTCATGCTAGTCCCCACTCAGCCATGAAACTCACTGGATGACTCTGGGCCGGTCAGTGACCCTCAATCAACCTAACTCACAGGTTCTCATGAGGATAAAATGGAAAGAAGGACAGTGTAAACCACCTGAAAAAGGATGAAAGCCAGGAAGAAAGTTAATAACAAATAAATAAGAAAACACATAATTCCCTCAAATATTCAGTTTCTAGTGTGCCATAGAATCACAGTTGGAACGGACCAGAGGGCCATCAGATCATGTTTTAGATCATCCATTGATCAATCAATTCAACTATGAAAGGAATGAAACATTACAAAAGCATTGCAGAGTTCCGTCAGGTCATATATCTTACCCAAGCTATCTACTGTTTGCACTGAGAATGCGGTGGGGGTGGGGTGGAGGAGAGAGAAATTATTTCTCTGTGCATGTAAGATGAAGGCTGAGGGGATGTCCTGCTGAAGGTCTACTTCTCCTTAATGCCCTTAGTCTTCCCTCATTATGCTATTTTGTCCCATGATAGAACCATTAATTTGACACAGCTGAATTATGCTACCTCTGTTCCTTGTACAACTCTGTGCCCGAGGCAGGGGTTCCTACTTTCAATACTGGGGCCAGAAGACTATCCATAAATCCAGTGCTGTACAAGGAGCAATTAAGCTACAGGTTGCCTAGCTATGAGCAGTTTAGCAGATGTGCCTAATAAATTCTTTGATTATATTTATTTCCTCTCAGTTTGGATTACATGCTAGCATGTTTTCTTCTTATATTTTCTTTGGCAATTGACACATTCTAAATATTAAATTTTAAAACTCTTACTTGTTTCAAAATATTATCTGCTTCAGCCCTAACAATACCCCTGGGAAGAACAGTGTCTTTGTTTTAAAGATGTAAGCTAAACAGAAGGTTGGATTCACTTGCTTGGGGTCATACATCAATTCAGGAGCGTGAAGAAACTGGAATCAATGACTTCCTCCTTTGGTTATGACTGACGAACAGCATAGGGGCTTCCCCCACCTCTGCCATATTTCATCTTCTGGGTTTAAGCTAGAATACTAAAAGATCTACAAATAATTCTGTTGCAAAAATTAATTTGTTTTCTGAAAAGCTGTTTGCTTTTATAACGTTCTCACAACAGTACAGGTAGTAGATTACTACTTTCATATAGAAGATTGCTTCTTTAATATGTAAATTAAAATGTGTTCTTTTATATTATGGCTTTCTCCAGATAAGCAGAAATTCTTATAGAGTGAAAGAAGCACTTACAAGACACAGGTCTCTGAAATATATAGATACAGTCAAAAATATATACACGTATCAAAGAATATATATCAAACCAGGGGGAATGTACAAAAATTGAAGATCTTTTCCCTTGCATGACCAATATTGTGTTTATTTATTTATTTCATTTTTATAACACTCAATAGCTGAGGTTCTCTGGGCAGTTCTGCTTGTGCAACAACTTTGGAGACAAACTAGTTATTCTGGGTTTACCTTTCTTCTACTGGATTTAGCATAGATCAGTTAAAGGAAATAACAACTTGATGCTCTGTGGGATTTCCATTAAAAACAAGTCTGTATATCTCAGTCCTGGGACAAAGAGTTCTATTTTAGGGGATCACAACTGGAGCTTAGAACACAGCACTGCAAGGCAGAGGACTGCTGTTCCAATCAACCAAGTATATTTAATTTCAGAATAATTAGTCTATCCTCACATTGTCCTATTTTTCCTTTCTCAACAATAAGTCAAGCATGCCATGTGCACTAAATATGCTCAGTTTTTACTGGATGTTATAATTCGTGAAAGCAGGGGTACAGGAATCCTGGAGCACTCATCCTGCCCTTTTAGAAGGAGGAGGCCAAAGCACCAAAGCAACAACACTCGTCTGCCTTCTCCTCCAGCAGCAAGTCTACTCCCATCCATGGCATGAGGTCAGAATACTGAGTAGAAGTGTTGGAATAAGGATCATGCTATTGCAGCATGGTAGTTCTATTTTTAATCATCTGGAAATACCTAAAAGCAACAATATAGGAATCTCTTGCCGATTTTCCCTGTTTTATATTTATTTTGCTTATGAATCCTTAACATAAGATAATGAACCTGGGAATCAGTCATAATAGACCTAGTGGTGTTTCAAATCTAAATCAGAATTAGCTAACTAAGCAAATTATAATGGCACTGATTAGGCAATCATCAACAAGATGATTGTTAAGTTAAACGTCCTACTCAGCACAAATGTGAATGAAATGTTTCATTTCAATAGAATACATTATAACAAACTAGTGGCAATTAAGCAGCCATTCAGTCTTCCTAGCAGCCTAACAGTTTGAATGTTCTGCAGTTATAGAAGCCTCCTAAGCCATCTCAGACAGTCTAAGGGAAATGAAACCATTCCCAAACTTGGTTCAAAATCTTCTGGATGTGAAGTCCAACATGTGGAATCATAGCCAATTCATAATTCTAAGAGCCAGGGATCAGCACAAGAACCTGTGTTCCTGTATGTATTAGAAACATACCAATTACTAAGCATAAGTAAAAGATGAACTAAGGCTTAGTTCAACGTAAGGACTTGATTGGGACAAAATGACTGGGACAGAACTGAAATGGCAGAAACTAATATGAAAGGAGAATAAATGAACACTTACATATCACCAAAAGAGGGGGCAAAAAGGATAGTGGTTACCATAGAACTGCCATCAGCTAATATGTACCCATGCAAATTTAGAAATAATGACTATAATACATCACACTTTCATGGAAAGTGACCTGTGTGCCTGTTTAACCTGCTGCCCAGGTAGTAAATACTGATGAGCAACTTCAAAGCCCCCTGCCCTGCTTCCTTTTGATTCTCCAACTTTAAACTGAACTTGGACAGCCGTTCCAATGATGCTTTTAAATATAGGATTCTCCTCTGACAACCTTTCAGATAGAGGACTGCCCTAGGTTAAAGTAGGGCACATGGCTACAAAAAGAGGGCCAGTAAATTGTTTATGTTTTGAAAAGGTTGAGTCCATGGTGAGAAGAGAACCTCAAAAGCTGGAATTGCCACTGGGTGAGGGGCAGGTGGTAACAAGAGATGGGGTCTTCCTTCTCTGTGGTGGTAGCCTGGCTTTGGTATTCTCAATTCAGTCATTCAAATAGAGCACAGTAGGGTGTGTGGGAGGGTATCCTATAATGTTGCTATGACTCTGTTAACACGAACAGTTCCAGAAACAACCTGGAAATATACATAAATGCTCATTTGCAGATTGGGACAGATTAGAGAACCCCTCCCCCCAGAGCTGTGTTGATCTCACCCATTCCAAAATCAAGTGTTTCTGCTTGTTCCAAATTATTCCAGGAACTGCTAGTTCTTCTTGAGCTTGAGTGGAGATAGCCTAGAATATGGCCAATGGTCAACCTGTGAAAAGAAATTCCAGTGGTTTTGAAAGACATACATTTTTTGCAATATTTCATTTCACTGTCAACTTAATAATTAGGTTTTTGCTCAAAAACTTGTAAAACTGGTTTGACTGAAAAAGATAACAAATATTTATTATGCAAAGTACTGAAACCTGACCCTAGTTTTTTAGCTCTCTTAAAAACCCTAGATCTCCAACCTGAGAAATTATAAAGCTTCAAATTTATTAGCAGTAGCTACTGTCATGCTAGCATAAATCAGCTCTAACTCGACATCGTTAGCATTTGCTAGGCAATAGTACAAAGTAGTGAAATTGCTCTTTTCCCCTTTGCCTACAAAGTGCTAAGGACATTGTGACTGCATGTGGACCCCTCCACCTGAGACTACCAGTGAAGGACAGGATATAAAAACTTTAAATAAATGAATAAATGTGCCCCACCCTAAATCTGTGAATTTTGGCCTTAAGCACAATTTCAGTGAAGTATCTCTAGACTGTCCTAACATTTTCTGATGATCTCTAGAATTCTGTAAATAAATGGTTTCACTGATTTGGATATGGATAGGAATATTTTACATAAGCATTTAATTCTGGCACAAATAGAAACAGAACTAAGAAGCAATATTGTACTGTAATATTGCTGATAAAAGACGATCGGTTGCATCTAGACTGGCAGAGTAAAGCAATCCAAGCTGGGATGGATCACCAGGGAGTGCACAGTTTCACTGGGCTTTTTAGTTTGATGGATCTTTTCTCCTGTAAATACACACACACACACACTTTTACTTTAAACCAGTATAAAGGAAAAATAGCTGTGTTAAGTTCAGGCTGATACAGATGAAAGAGTGGAAACAGGTTGCTTTGAGGGGAACTGAAGGCTTGGGATCCAGGAGATGAAAAGCTGCCTTTGCTTGACACTCAGAATATGCTATTTTGATATCTACTGCCAACAAAAATACCGCTGACAGTACCTTTACATCTTCAGAGCTTTCCATAGTACCTCATTGGGCCTCCACATTATCCTAACCTTCCTCAGAGCTAAACATAATGTCCGTTTAAGCATGCAAAGCAAAGCTGCATATGCTACTACTATTTAGTCTCCTGCACACACACGCAGCCTTGATTGTGCAGGACCGTGGCACTTTGAAAGAAGAGAATTCAATTATTTCCACTACCTGCTTTCATCCCAAAATTCCACATACACCCTTTGGGGAGGAGTGAAAAATGGGGGTAGCCACCATTGATTCCAAGGAACTCGTTTGTTTGTTTGTTTTTGTACCAGATGGGGAGAAAGTGTAAACCCACCTCTCCCAAGGCATTATGATCCCAATCCAAATTGTAGTCACATGCATTTTCAGGATAGTAAATAAATGTAGCATGCATAGTTCCACTACAGCTATGGAGCTATAGCACAGCTCCACATAGCTCCTAGCTGATTATTTAGTTCAGCTCTCTGATGGCTGTCTGGATGGGTTAGAATTACTTTGCCAATTATTTATGCTTCAGTCCCATTGAAATAAATGGGTATTGAACTCTTCCTATTTTTAATGGGACTGAAAGTGTGACTACACATCACTCTGATTTTAATTCAGTGCTCTAAACATCAAACAGACAACAAAGGAGGAAGAACAGCTTTACATTTTTTTTACAAAAATCATAGCTATTTCATGAACTACAAGAAATGAACTACACTCAAGGGCCTACTGTCTAATGCTGTTGCAAGGGATGAACAATAGATTTGCAATAAACGATTTGTTTTTGCCTACATGGACTTGCAGTGATAAAAAGAAAATGAAGAGGAGAGAGAGAGAGAGACTATTTTTTATATCACTTTAGGGTCCAATCCAGTACAAAATATGTCTGTCTCTCCAGCTGTATATGCCATGGGAGTTGATATTTAGTGACTTCCATGGCTTTACATCAAGTTTTCAAGGTAGACATGGAACATATTTTTGTCATGTTAGCTCTTTGGACAGCCTTTTTGTACCTCAATAGGCTGTAAAACTGACAAGCATCAGCTTACTTGGGAAAACAAATGTTATATCACCAATAAGAAGTACTAGAACAGATCCCACTGCAATGTTTTAAATATTCAGTCTGTTAGTCATTCTAATTCTGTATCAGGTTACCAGTAAGTTTAGCCTTCAGATTTACTGAAATTAATGCATGTTTCCATAAACATTTACACATTAGCTAGTTAGGAGGCAAAACCAATAATTGTTGAATATGGCAGCAATGCTATGTCCAGTTATTTGGAAATAGGTTCCAACGTTTAGCATCTGGATGCTGATTTGATCCGGTAAGCCCTACATTCACTTTCACTAATTTTTCAAGAGTTCTACTACAATTTAATAGGAATGTTCACACCTTTAAAAGGTTATGTGTAATTATACAGTTAAGGTCTTAAATAACTGTTATCGAAGGCTGCGTTTTGTTCAGTTTGGAAGTAATTTAGAAAATCCTGATAATGAAGGGCAAAGCATATTAAAAATATTAATGCTAAACTGAATCAGGAATGATTGTGCATCTAAAGTAAATGTATAACAAAATTAATACCTGTATATGCATATGCGTAATGTATATTAAATCTGCCAAAATATACAAATGAAATGTAGTGTATATAAAGTTAAAAGGAATAAAACCAGTATGTTTGGAAGGAATTCTCCTGCATATTTTGTTGAAATATGAAGTTGGGATTGTATATTATTTGCCAATCCTCTACAATGGAAATATTCATTGTACTAACACCAACTGTCAAATACAAGATGCTCTAACTATCAAGGGTAATAACTTTTGCATATTTCTGGGAATTCCTCCAATGCCCAAACCATTTTTAGTTTGCAGGCCTGTATAATTTATTTGACATGGTTGGAAAGAATCGCCTGTACAACCCAAAAAGAAAAAAAAATCTGTATTTTTATCCCCCATTATCTCTGCACATAAAAAGTCAAGGAGCTTCAGGCTAGAATTAACACAAGATTGGCTATTATGATAGTAAGAGCATTTAGCAGCAATCCCAGCTGACTGTGCATTTTGTAATAATAAATACCCTCATCTAATCTCTCTCTCTCTCTTTTTAACTTTATGCCTTAAGGAAATCTTTACACTCATGATAAAACACTATACCGATTTGCTCTCAGAGGTGATACCCCCGATATATGTCCTACCTTGGGCAAAGTCATTTAAAGATACAGAGTTTGCAAGTTAAATGGCTTTACAGTATAAGCTGTAGTTTTATGAACAGCCTTAAGAAACACAATAACCTACTGTACTTGGTTGATGAAACTACACTCTGGATGAAAGACTCAAACTACCTAATCCTGGAAGGCACCATTTAATTCAGTGGAGTTTGTGGCAGCATGATACAGTGTGGCTCAGGAGATCTTACACAGACTAATAGTTGTGGCTTTTAGGACCAAAACAACTTGCACTTAAAGGTTACAGCAAGTACACTTTCATAGCTCACTGTTTCTATTTGCCATAAATATTAAATGAGACATATATTAAAGTTTCTGTGCATGGTGGACTAAGCTGAATTATCAAGTACAAAAGATAATTTGTCTCAACATTACATTTTCTTCTTCAGACCTTGTAGAAAAACAGAGCACACTGGATACATATTTATTTCCCTCTGTGCTCAGCTTATTACTTCAAAATAATGTCTATCTCATTGAGCCCTAAACAAAATACCCAACTTTTCCAAAGTTTCTTTTGTTAATGAAGAAATATCTTATCTTTCTGCCTTTCCTGAGAGATGACATATTCTGGGAAGCAATTTCTTTGACCTCCACGCCTGTTAAGGAAAGAAACAAGTATACCTAAATGGGAAGGAACAAGATCTATCATATCTTCTCAGTCACTGGAACTGAACTCAATGATATATTTCCTTGACATGTGTATGTTTTGTTTCAAGTTATCAGTCAGAGCAAAAGATTACCCAGGAGTGTAATGCAGCACTCCAAATAAACAAGATGGCAAGGAACCTGCCCAGCACTCCCACAATCAAGACAGAAAATGTCCTTCCTGTTATCTAGCACAATCAAAAGAAATGTTTTCTGTGCTGCATTGTATGTTATGTGTGTGTGTGTATTTAAGGGAACTGTTTTTTGTGCTTTCCTCAATTCTGTATCTCACGTATTTTAATGCTAAGGCCAGTGAGCAAATGTTCCTCTAAGGCCAAACTGAGAGACATCACATTTATTGCATGAATGAAGTTAAAGTGCAGGTTTCATTATGGAAAAAGCAGGAGAAGAGTCAATCCTTGTGGGTGGGGGAGGGACGTTTAACTCTTTTATCTCCTGACCACCACCCTCTCCAAAACTGCCTTTTCATATCTACTATTTACATTTTAAGGAAAGCCTATATTAGCATGAAACTCCCCATGATGGGGAGGGGAGGCGGGTTCCTATATCAACCTACCAAAAAAAAATTGTTGGATCTTTTTTCTGGCTTGTCAGGAAAGAGGCAAGACAGATTTCATGGTTCCCACTTAAAATGAATAAAATCACAAATGGGGGTTCCATGGGCTATCCAGCTGCTCATTCACAATAATCTCAGTTTTTAAAAACTTAAGAGCTGATATGACCATCCAAACCAGAGAATTAAACTGCTCTTCTAAGTCCCCAAGTTCAAAGTTTTTATTTCTATGATAAAAACAAGCATGTTGATACAATTAACTTTTCTTGCCAACTTTGCCCAGTTTTTTTCCTAGGAATGCCATGGTGAAAGGAACCATACTCTGGGGGATCATGGGTGATTTGGAAGGCAGAGAAAACTAGCTTGGTCCTACCCATTGGTCAAAGGAGCAGATGTAGGGGGCTCCCTACCTCCTTACTCCTGCCACAAGGAACACTCTTCTCTGCATTTGCTCTCCCCCTCCTCCCCCCACCCCACCCCCATAAGGGAATAGTAGGTCCTTGTGAGACAATATTCCATAACTGGATCATATCAACAAAGATATTGTTTCAATTGTTTCAATGTTTATAACCATCAGTGCCCTTAA